ACCATTTCCCAGGAGCTCCAGGCCTCCCAAGTGTGCTGGGGGTGCCAGGCCCCGAGTGCACGCCATGAGCGTGTGGGAGGAAATGACCCGACTTTAGAGATCCAGTTCTTAAAAAGAAACGGCAACATCCATAGGTCATGGGTGGAAGTGCAGTGCAGGGGTGGGGAGGGGGGGAAATTAAACAGGGAAAAAAAATCCTAAATAAGATACTAGCAAACCGAATACAGTAACATATAAAAAGATTATAAACCATGATCACGTGACCTTCATCCCAGAGGCACAGGGATTGTTCAACATGTGCAAATCAATTAATGTGATAAACGATATAAACAAATTAAAAATAAGAATCATATGATCATATAAATAGATGCAGAAAAAGCCTTCGACAACGTACAGCATCTATTTATGGTCAAAACACTTAACAAAATCGGTGTAAAAGGAAAGTACCTTAACATAATAAAGGCCGTGTATGACAAACCCTTAGCCAACATTATACTTAATAGCGAAAAACTAAAAACCTTCCCTCTAAAATCAGGAACAAGGCAAGGCTGTCCACTAGCACCACTGTCATTCAATATAACATTGGAGGTCTTGGCGAGTGCCATCAGGCAAGACAAGAGAAAGGTATAAAAGGTATCCAAATAGAAAACGAAGAAGTCAAACTGTCCTATTTGCAGATGACGTGATTCTCTATATAGAAAACCCTAAAGACTCCAGAAGAACACTACTAGAAACAATATGCAAATATAGTAAAGTTTCTGGATAAAAATATCAACATTCAAAAATCCATAGTGTTCCTATACACTAATAATGAAGCATCAGAAAAAGAAGTGGAAAAAATAATTCTTTTTGCAATTGCAACAAAAAGAATAAAATATTTAGTAATAAATCTAATGAAACATTTGAAGGACCTATACAATCAAAACTATAAGATCCTATTAAAAGAAATTGAAGAAGATACAAAAAAATTGAAAGATATTCTGTGTTCTTGGATTGGAAGAATCAACATAGTTAAAATGACTATATTACCTAAAGCCTCATATAGATTCAATGAAATCTCCATCAGCATCTCATTGGCATTTTTTGATGAAATAGAACAAAAAATCATCAGAATTGTAGGGAAGCATAAAAGACCCCGAATTGCCAAAGCTATCCTGAGAAAAAAAGAATGAGGCTAGAGACATTACTCTTCCCGACTTCAAATTATACTACAAAGTGATAATAATCAAAACAGCATGATATTGGCAGAAAAACAGACTCATGGACCAGTGGAAGAGAATTGATAGTCCAGAAATAAACCCATGGTATATGGCCAATAATTTTTGAGAAAAAAGCCAAAAATATACGGTGGAGAAAGGAAAGCCTCTTCAACAAATGGTGCTGGAAAAACTGAAAGCCACCTCCAAAAGAATGAAAATAGATTGCTGTCTATCACCACACACCAAAATTAACTGAATATAAAACCTGAAACAATAAATTACATAATGAAAACACAGGAACTAAACTCAAGGACCTTGAACTATTTTATGAATTTGACCTCAATGGCAAGGGAAATAGAAGCTAAAATAAATGAATGGGACTACATCAAACTAAAAAGCTTCTGCACAGCAAAAGAAACCATCTACAAGGTAAAGAGATAAACATCTGAATGGAAAAATATATTTGCAAGAAATGCCTCCAATAAGGGCCTAACATCCAAAATATATAAAGAAGTCACACAATTCAATAACAACAACAAACAATCCAGTCAAAAAATGAGCAGAGGACCTGAACAGACCCTTTACTCAAGAAGAAATACAAATAGCCAACACACGTATGAAAAGAGGCTGAATATAGCTAGCTCTCAGCGAAATGCTAATCAAAACCACAATGCAATACCATCTCACACCTGTTAGAATAGCTGTTATCAACAGGACAAGTAATAAGTGTTGGAGAGAATGCAGAAAACAAGGAACCCTCATACACTGTTGGTGGTACTGCAAACTGGTACAGCCGGTATGGAAAACAGTATGGAGATTCCTCAAAAAACTAAGAATTGATCTACCATATGATCCAGCAATCCCTCTACTGGGTATTTATCCCAAAGACTTGAAAACTCATATCCAAAAAGATATTTGCGCACCAATGTTCATAGCAGCATTATTCATAGTGGCCAGGACATGGAAGCAACCGAAATGTCCTACAATAGATGACTGGATAAAGAAGCTGTGGTACCTATATACAATGAAATGTTACTCGGTCATAAGAAGAGACGAAATATTGCCATTTGTGACAACATGCATGGACCTTGAGATAATCTTGCTAAGCAAAATAAGCCAGACAGAAAAAGTTGAAAACCACGTGATGTCACCTATATGTGGGATATAAACCTAAAAGCAAGAAGTGAACAGGACAGACAGACTCATGGACATGGACCACAGACTAGTGGTTACTAGAGGGTGGGGGAGCAGGGTGGTAGGTGGGGTAAAAGGGGTCAAATATGTGGTAACAGAAAGAAATCTAACTATGGGAGAGGAACACAATGCAATATATATATATGCTTTATTATCGAATTGTACACCTGAATCTTACTGGATTTTGTTAAACAATGTCACAAAAAATAATTAAAAATACATTTAAAAAAAAAGATAATAGAGGACTTGAACAATATTAATACTCACTAGATTATGAGACATTTATAGAACATTATACCTAAACACAGCAAAGCACATATTCTTCTTAAATGATTACACATCATTTGCAAAATAGATATTCTCCAGGACATAACATGTAAGGTTTTAAAACAGTCTTAATACATTTTAAAAGTCTGAAATTCAAAGTATGTATTCTGACCACAATGGAATAAAGTTAGAAATCAATTACAATAACAAAAAGAAAAGTGGAGAATTCACAAGTGTGTGCAAATTAAGCAACACATGCTTAACCAATCAACTAATCAAAGAAGTCATATGAAATTAAAAAAGAATACTCTGGGAAGTTCTAAAGAAGGCTATTTTGCAAAAAAAATAAAAGGTATCCAAATTGGAAAGGAATAATAAGACAATCTCTATTCAGAAACAACATGATCTTACATATACAAAATCCTAAGGAATACGCTGAATAAACTATTCAAGCTAATAAACATTATGCTCTGTCTCGTACTTCATTAAGTTGTGGTCAGTGAGAACAGCAGCCTGTATTTATACTCTTTTGGAAAAGTATAATGAACAATACCAACACTTCCCATTTCTGTCTTTCCTTCTCTATGTTGGGGAAAAGGATGGGAAAGAAGAGGAAGATATAAAGAAAGATCAAGAGGAATGAAGCAACCTACATCCTGACTGGTTGTACTACTATAAATAAACTATTATTTCCCATTTATTTCCCTAAGCTCGCCCTGAAACCTGAAAGGAGTGTGGTCTTGTTTTCAGATGCAGTAAGGAATGGGTGATCTGGAGAGAGTGTCATACTCCACAGTTAGGCTTGTGGAGATGATGACAGTTATATAAGGAGAGGCAAAGCAGCTGACGCCCTAGAGCTTCCTGTAAGAAAGGAAGAGACAGTCTAAGAACTTACTGAATGTTGTAGGGCACAGTACTAGGACTGAGCACCCCATACATAGTGAAGCCTTTATAGAGAGGGTTCCTGAAGTCTGGTTTCCTCTGAACCAAGAACGGCCACAGAGAATGGGTTTTCTCATAGACTCTGTTGAAAAAGAAAAAAAAGCCAAAAAATTAAAAGCAGCAAGCAAGTAATCTCAATAGTTCTGCTGAACTTGATAATCAGCCAAATTTTACTAACAAGTAACCCAACTCAAGACAGAGCAACAAGATATAATAGAAAGAAAATGAAATAAGTGGCTAATGAGCATTGATAGTATAATGAATTATCTGACTTCAATTTATCCATTTTTAAAATGAATCAGAAGTTAGACAGTTCCACACTAGAGAGCAGGAGATGCTAATAAGCCTTCTGCTGTGGAGTAGCTGTGATCTTAGTAATAATCCTAGCTTTTTCTGGGCCTGTCTTCTCATTCATATAATATGACCCCTAAGGTCTATTATGAATGTAGGATTCTATAAATTTATCACCTTTCCATTTTTTGAAAATCTGGAATTGTTTTTAAAATTCTGGTAAGTTAACAGACAGCCTAGAGGGTGAATTTCTGGTTTTTCTATACTTCATTTTATTTCAAGCCAGCTTCTCTTCCTCCCAGAAGGTTTAAGACGGAGAAAGACAATTGGTAATTTATATCGGCAAATATTTGTGAGTTATCCTAGGTGGGCAACTAAAGACTGTGAAATTTGTATCGTAAGACTAATTCTCATGTGTTCGTTGAGACCACAGGACCTTGCTCACCAAGCAAAGTAGCCTCAAAAAGCAGGGGTCCCCACTGGTCCCCAACAAGAACTCCTGTGTAATCATGCATGGGAAGGTCATTTGCACACATTGTTTCAAGAAAGAGAACAAAGAGGAGTAGCATGGGTGGTAGGACCTAAAATTGTAGTCTTGTAACTTTTCTAAACCTCAGACCATTCCAGTAAAGTCAAAGGCCCTGTATATGTCTCTCATTTGTTGTTAGTTAAAAAAAAAAATCTTGCAGAGGTAAGGTAACTAATATTTATCGAGTATTTACTATGTGTCAAACACTGTTCTGGACTCTACCTAAAATACCTCATTAAATTTTATGATATTTTATTCCCAATTTAGTAATAGGAAAACGAGATAATTAATTTGCTAAAGTTCACATTGCTAGTACAGGTAACACAGTCAAAATCTGAACCTAGGTCTGATTCTAGAACCGATGCTTTTTCTTTCATGAATGAATGATACTTCTGTTTATTTTAAGTAATCACTATTTTAATGTGTTAAATTTTTCAACTTTTGTACTTTTACATGGAGATTCAGATTTGTATGGGGAATGGGTCTAGGATATATTAGCCTCATTTTAAGAGGTGGAAAAGGAATATGGAAAATATCTTAGGTTTTAATGCCTAGACAGAATGAATGTGTCTAAAAGCATTTGGGGAGAGGGTAAGAAATGTCTGGTTGCAAAAGGAAGAGATAGAGAGGTGATTTCATCCAGGATATGTCATAGAAGGGCCTGAGAACTTGAGCTAACTGCTATTCAATCAACAGCTGTGAATGAAGAGTGGGTTGTGAGATAGCTACTTCCCTGTCTATTTCTTTATCTCTAAAACAAGAACACTGCTAACAGCAACTCTATCATGTCAACCTCAAAAAGCATTTATGCTTTGGATATTGTGGGGATATTAGAGTTTAAGTCGGGTACAAATCCAACTATCTACAGGAGCTAGGAAGATAACATTAGAAATTGGTTGAGAATAAACTATAGGGAGTGGTGAGAGCTGTGGCAAACAAACAAGAGTGAGTGCCTCATCCAAGTTAAGCATCTACTATTCAGCTCTAGTTGATTATGGCCATGAGAAAACACAGGTCCAGTGTTGCCAGAGCTTTTGATGTTTCAGAATATCTTGGCAAAACTGCTTTTCTATTTAGGACAAAATCCTAAAATAACTATATTTTTATGTGAAATAACCTGATATTAAAATGTTGACAACTAATTCATAGTTTAAAAAATATTCCACAGACTGAACAAAGCATACCTGTTGAGCCAGGTTTATTTGGATTATGAGCTGCCATTTTGTGGTCTCTGATACGAGTGATGAAGGCCTGCAGATAATAACTACTCAGTCCTACACAGTAATTGATTCTTTACAAAGTCCTTGCACATCCATTTTTTATTGGTTCTTCATGATAGCTCCAAAATGTAGGTATTAGTATCTGTTTTACCAATTAGGAATCTGAGGTTCTGAGTAATTCCCACACAAACACTGAGTGCTTTATGCTTCAAAAGTTATTTTTACTGTTGTCATTCCTCCCCTTTCCTAAACTGCTGTCCAAAATTCAGGGTGGTGGGTACATTCCTTTTGCACTGACCCCCTCTCCCTAGTCAATATTTTCTCACAAACTGAATTTACCTTAGATCTTCCCGATCCTTCTGGCAGTTTCCAAGGAAGTTCCCAAACTGGCAAGAAAAAACATGATCATGGATCTCCAGCAGGAAGATTTCATTAAACTCAAAGGCACAAGGAAATTGTTCCATTAACTGCCAGATACAGTCTAGGAACTGAGTGAAGACAGGAGATACTTCTTTAGAGTCCCCATTGAGATGGCCACATCTGAGAGATGCAAATAAAGGTAAAGAAAGACAACAGTTAACATCAAGGATTATGCTGTTTGGAACAGGCTATAATAAGATTACCTTTGGTCTCTGTTGGCATTAGCAAATAAACACCTCATGCTAAAATGCCACCTGGAATTCAATACTTGCTAATCTCAACAGACCTATTAGCCACTGTCATCCTTCACCATCATCCAGATTGTAAACCTTTTGATCATCTATTCTAACTCCTCTTATACCTTCTCTACAATAGAACTTTCTGCAATGACAGAATGTTCCATATATCTATTGTCCAATATGGTAGTCACTAACTATTAAGCACTTAAAATGCAGCTTTTGTGATTAAGGAACCAAATTTTTAACTGTAGTACTTAATTTAAATTTAAATTTAAATAGCTACTTTTAATTCTGGGTAAGAACTAGATCTATGTTGTTTACTGTACAGTTCTTAACACAAAATAAGTATTTAATAAACATTTACTAAATGAACAAACCTCATCCTAGAATTGTTTAATGCCTCCCCCATGATGCCCTTTTTACCAACTCTTACCATTCACTGGGAACCCTATTCTACTGGAAACAAAAACAGCATCCTCAGCTTCTACATTGTATGTTCTACCTTCTGATTTAACAAAAATATGTCTCAACAAGGACACCAGTTCTGCCTGGGGCCCAAATCAAATGGAAAATGCTCACCATTCTACTCTCCAAATATCATAACCCTCAAACAGGGCAGAGGTGGGATCAGCTTTCTCTTTGTTCCTACCACTGCTTTCTATTATTTCTTTCACTCTCTTAAAACCACTTCCATTATGGGTCACGTTATTTACCTTATACTAACTTGCCCTTCCTCAGTGTTGTCTCCTACCAATCTCTGAGTCACTTCTCCAAGTTTTCTGAAGATTCTGACTCCTGTCTTAAGTCATATTTGGAGTCAATGCAGCTGACCTACACTGGCTTAGAGGGTTCCTTAACTAACTCAAATCCAATTATCTTCATGGATCTTTATCTCTACTCTACTATCAGTCTCCCATATCCATGACCATAAGCTGGCTCTTGAAGTTACCTAGAGGTTCGTGCTCCATTTTGAAATTTTAATCTCAATGTCCTACTCTGACCACCATATGTTTCCAAAGGCTGCTCATCTCACCTCCTCCAGTCCTCATCTCTGAACCTCTCAATCTGCCAGATTCCTTCCCTTTTGTACTTATCCAGCCTATACTATATGGTCTGCCCCATCAACCATTCTTTCTCCATTTTCTCTAACTTTCTGATCTTTATTGTCATTATTCTCCTTCAAAATCCAACTACAGATGAACTGAAAAAGCTATGTTCTCTGCTCACAGATCCTGACTGATGGATGCTGCTTGAGAATATTATAAAACCATGCAAACTGATGCCATTTAAAATTAAGTCTCCGGGGGTGGCTCCATAGTGTAGTGGTTAGCACATCTGCTTTACATGCAGAAGGTCCTGAGTTCGCACCTCGCGTGGAGCCACAGACCATACCCCAGGTGCACCAGGCCCCCCAGGTGCACCAGGCCCCGGGTACATACTGGTAGCATGTGGGAGGAGATGCCCTGACTTCAGAGATCCAGTTCTTAAGGGGAAACAGCAACATCCATAGGTCAGGGGTGGAAGTGTGGTGGGGGATTAAAGAGGGGAAAAAATAAAAAAAAAAATGTCTCTGAATTCAGTTAGAACTTAATTGCTCTCAAATAATCTTTATGTATGTCCTTGATACTGTTTTCCCATCATCCTTACAGCAGTTACAAATTTTAAGCTATCGTCTCAAACCCCTAACTTTTTTTGAAACTGGTGTCTACAGTATCACTGGAAAAGACCAAGGCCATCAAATAAAAATAACTAACTGCTGTCTCTGACACTCACACGCTTAGTTCCTTCACTGCCTGTCTTTCTATCCAGTCTTCATGGAAGAGGTGTTCTTAGTAATAGCTCATGCTAGTCTTTTCATGTGAACTGTAGCTTTTACTTCTTTTCTCCTCAGGAGCCTTATTCTACCAAACACTCACTGTCTCAAATCTTTAATCTTATATTCTTTAATGTTCTAAAGTGTCACTAATTTCAGGTAGCCTTCTTTGTCCCAGTATGGGTTAGGTTCTTTTGTTTATGTTTACCTTTGTCTTAGCACTTATTATAATATACTGTCATCATTGATTTTCAGAGACCATATCTGAGTCAAAATAGTCTTCTTAAAACCAGGCATACTGTCTGGCCCAATGTTTGTTGATAAAGGAAGAATGAATAGATGGACCCAAATTGCTAGAGAGTGGCAACCAAATGAAATTAAATAGATATACACCAATGGAGGAGAATATGACCTGAATTATAATTTCTCTGAGAGTAAAACATTTTATGTGTCTTTGGTACTGGCTCAGTGTCTGATATAGTATACAGCACATTGTTAGGTATTTGGTAAATATTCATGGATTGTTCTGATAACATAGGTAAAGCCTCAGAGAGGCTGTTAGGCTCATAGCACACACTAGATGAATGCAAACCCTGGCACCACCCCTTCCTTACTAAAGAACAGAAAAAAGCATCTGTCTTTTTCCTTACAAAAGGTTAAAAGGTGCATTGTCTTATGTATTATTCTCTCTGCCTGAATGCCCTCCCCATCCCACTATTCTGTCTAGCAAACTCCTATCCATTCCCAAAAATTCATCTTTAAATGCTGCCTATTCCTGAACACCTATCCTGACTTCTTCAAGCAGATATAAGCACTTTATTCTTTGTGTCCTGTGATGCCTTGTTCTTCCCTGAAACGTTTAACAACTTGAAATAATCATTTGCACACTTTGAAGGCAGAGATATACCTTTGTAACCCTAGTACCCTAGCATAGTGTCTGGAATACTTGTTTCCTGATGAAAAGAGATTTATACCATGTTTAACTCACTGTTCCTTCATACACAGGAACATACTGGGTTTCGATAAACCTCACCTTAATGACCGCCTCCTTTAAAGTGAGGATAGTTTTACCTTTGGGAGAACTTGTGGCCCATGGATATCCATTCTTTCTCTATCAGAATCTTCATTTTTATACAAAAAGAAAAGTTTGCATTAGACATCATAAAATGAATTAACCATACATATAAAAATATCAAAACACTTTCCTGAAATGGATGTTGTACAAGTTTGAGATGGGCTGATAATAAATAAATTTTCCAAATGATAACTAAGTAAGTAACTTGCATTTCCTTTAAAGGCCTATACAGGCCGCCTTCAAATTTCAAATGCTCTCAGGAGAAATTATACTGGACTTGTATCCAGTGTCGGATTTCTTTTAGCCTTTACATGATGTGTGACAAGCCATTTGAGCCATAGCTAAATGCAAACCTGATAAACATGATATTAAATTCAACCTATTAAGAAGCAGAACTCCAAAATCAGTGCTTGGGTTTATACCAAGAACAAATCTTGGTACAAACCTATTTTCAACCACTTAAAAAAAAAAAAAGGCATTTCCAAATAATGAGGCTAAACTCCGATGTGTTCTTTTTTTAGGAAGATCAACTAAGAAGCCTTGGATTCAGCATCAAAAAATAATCATGAGTCTGACATCCAAATGGCTGACATGTTGAAGATGATGAACCCATGAGACAGTCTATTTGATAGTCATCCATCCACTCTGCTCTGCAAACTTTTTGAGTCTCTCCTACCCTTTACAGCATTTTATTACATCTATCAATACAACTTACCTTCTGATAGGTAAGAATGTACATCAGAAAGTATATAGACTGTAAATGCCTAATTTAGTAGAAAGAAGCTAAACTGAAAACAGGGCCACTTTTGTAGATTTGGAACACCTTCTTGTAGAAAACAAGTTGGTTGAGAGTTCTTTTTGATTTATCCACAATCTATCACTCATGCAAAGTAAAATACTATTGCTTGCTCTCTTACCATGAGACCTTTGAATGTCCTGTAAAATGGATCTAGGAGAATGCTAGCCACAGAGCAGACTTGTGCTGTGCGGTCCCACCCATCAGAACAGTGGACTAAAACACTAGCCTTTTCTCCCTTCACTGCCTGTGAAGACAAGAGGCAAAAAGTAGCATAAACACATTTTGCATAGTATATTGGGTTAATAAATAGGGTTGCCAAATGCCTACAATACAGAGAACCTGGTCTTACTGGACTATATTATTTTTTTTCTCATAATATCAGTATCCTCTGTGGGTAATGAAAAAGAAAATAAAGGCATGCAACAGGAGAAGGAGAGTTTACCTAACAGGAGAATAAAATCAAACAAACAATATATGAGTCAGGGTAAAAAGAAAAGAAAGTTCTAAATTCCCAAAACCTCTGAAGAAGACAAGAATCAACTCTGAGAGAGAAGGGTGGGCAAGAGGAAGAATTCTGCCCCAAAACACAGATAGGACAGTTCTGCATTCCAACCCCCGACTTGACAATGATTTCCTCTGGAGTCTGTAGACATTTAATCTTACTAACTTAAATCCTTTTGACATAAGATAGAGAGGTTTATCTGTCTTAGGTCAGTTTCAGTACTTTCAGAATGATGTAAGGTCTGGGCAGTTACCCAGTCTTGGCAATTTGACAATTGATAGATATGGAGCATTCATTTATTCATTCTAACACTTAATAACGTATCGTATCTCTCTGTGCCAAGTATACGGTTAGAAATTATAGATACAAAGACATGACACAGTTTCTGCCTTCATGGAGTTCATAAACTAGGGTGAGCAAATGTAAACAAATAAATACAATACAGTGAAACAACTGCTGCTATAGTGTAATGTATAATAACTATATCCTTTTGAAGGAACCAGGAAATCCTGAGCCTTTAAGAGTAACATTTCCTCAGGTGAGGAAGGAGAATGAAATTAATTTATTACACATTTATTCATCCACCCACCTAGCTAATAATTACTGAGTGACTATACAAGAAATACTATGGTATGTACTGGAGATACAAAGAAGACAAACACTTACATGAACAACTACAAACCAATGATAACTAAAACAATAAAAGTATACACACCAGGTACAACAAAGACACAAAATAACCAAAGAGGAGACAACTGAAGTAGGCTTATCAAATGATTAGGCATTTGTCAGATGGATGAGGAAAAGATATTCCAGGCAGGGGGTACAACACAACAACATGTAGAAAGGCAATGAGGTATGACATAGGTGAAGAACTCTTAGTTACCTTGGTAATGTCTGAGGCTAAGCTGGGAGTGAAGGAGTGAGGAGAGACAGGCCTGCCCAGGAGGGCAAGGGTCAGACTGACAAGTGTGCATTTTATCTGGTGTAAAGGGGAGCCACCGAGGTGTTAAAAACAGAGGAATGCCATGATAAGATGTGCTCACTATGGTGACAATAAAGAGAATGGATAGCGAGGACATGAGTTTGGAATTAGGAAGATCAGTCAGAGTGCTACTAAAATTGTGAAAGGCAATGAGGGCTTGAACTAAGGTAGTAGTAGTAGGGCTGAAAAGGAGAAGAGGGATGTTAAGAATGAAAATGGAGATGGGATGAAGGAGAGGAATCAAAGATGACTCTGAAATGTGTGGCTTAGTAACTCAGTGAATGATAGCGCCATGAATCTGAATAGTGAACATAGAAGAGGAAACAAGTTTTAGTTGATGTTGGAAACAGGTAAGAAGATTTCAGTTTGGGCCATGGTGAGTCTGAGGTAGTTGAGGAACATCCAATGGAGAACAGAGTGGAAAATTGCATGTGTGGGTCTGAAGCCCAGAAAAGGGAGGAAGCTGGGCCAGAGTGTAGACTTGATCACTGTATGAACAGAGATGGTAGTGGAAACCATGGGCATGAATGGTGCTGTCCAGGCAGAGACCAAAGTAAGAAAAGGAAATACCTGAAAAAGCAGTGACTTTTAAACGAAAAGTAGAGGAAGAGGGGATATTATAGGAGTCAGCTTGTGAAAAAGCATCTTGAAAGGTAGAAAGAGAACCATGAAGGAGTAGTTGCTTTAAAGCCAGGACTACAAAAATGGTTCAAAGAGAAAGGGGTTAACAGTGCCAAATACAGCAAAGAGGTCAAAACAGAACAAAGATTAAAGAGTGACCCTTAGATTTGACAAGTAAGGGGTCATTAGTGACCTCAGCAAGAGCACTAGTAGTAATGGTATACAGAAATCGGATCACAGTGAACTGCAGTAAAGGGAGGTGAGGAAGTGCTCATAGGGAAGGTCAACTACTTTCAAGAAAGCTCTAACCAAGAGGAAAGAGGACACTAGCTAGAATAGGATAAGAAAAGTACTTTTTCTTTAGGAATGAGAAAGTATTTGAGCGTATTTCTGAGGGATGAAGCCAGCTGAAAGGATTAGGTTGAAAATACAGGAGAAAGAGGTTCCTAGAAGGAGTAGGAAATGAGATTTGAAATACAGGTAAAGGGCTTAGTCTTACACAAAAGATAGGGCACCGTTTTCCAAGACAGCAAGGAGACCCAAAAAAGCTGGTAAATGGGAGAAAAATGTGGCGCAGATGATAGAGGCTTTGTTCATCCCTCTTGCGAGCAATTCAAAGTTGTGACAGAATCACAGAGCAAACAGCAAGGAAAGTCGCCTGGGATCTAGATGAAAAAGCCCTACAACTAGGGAGAGAAATAAGAAATCACCCTGCAACGGGAGGAGGTAGGACAGGGCGAGGACACGAGGCTGCCCGGTCCCCAGCAGCTGAATGGGACGGAGGCCATAGCAGTGGCAGCTGCAGGCACCTCTTAAAGGGGCCATGTCCATGAGCAAACTTTCACAGTGACGGACCTGCTCACTCTGAGCAACACTGCAAGTTCGGCTGTGAGGTGGGCACCAGGGATTTACAGGGGAACATGAGTTTTCGGAGTGAGGGCCACAGGCTAGGGTCTCTCCTGGATAGAAGTGCCGGCGGTATCCATTGTTCCTCTGTGAACCTTCTCCCTTCCCAGTGTGTGGATGCAGCACCGCCAAAGCTGACACATCATCAAACTGGAAAACAGAGGTCGCTCCACCAGGAGGATTCCCTGAAACTCCACCTTCCCCAACACACGGCCTGTCCCAAGCCACATACAGGTGTATCCTTGGAGAGTCAGGTGCTACTTGCTGAGCGGAGCCAAGACTCACACTACTGTCAGCTGGCCTTGGTTTCTGGTGTGGCCTTTTGAGGCAACTATATGCACCGCATCTGCGGATTGCTTGCTGAATCTTAACAGGTAGACCGGGAGTGGTATAGGCTGAGGCTAACCTTATCCTGCAGCTGAACCCCTCTAAGGACTGTGCTACTGGTCACATACCAAACAAAGCCACGCTAGTAAGAGCGGGAGACTTCAGAGCCTTGCT